TTGATTGATTGGAATAGGTTCCCACAAGGGGACACTGTAAAGAGGCAAATAGTCTCTCCATTATTAATAAATTTGTTGGTGGTTGCGACAACGCCCTATTAGGATAAAGCGCCGTAATTTTGAAAAAAGACAATGTTGCAGTCAAGAGCTCCCATTTCAAATTTGCTTTTGTCTTCTGTTACCCAGGTTTATTCTTTGAATACTGAGTTTTTAAAGTCTGGCTGATTCGTCTGTAACAATCTTTGGCTTTTTCAAATACCTTTGCTCAATCTTCTAGCGACCCGATGGTGAAGTTCGGTCTCAACTCCTGTGAGTACTCTTTTACTTTGCTGCTTCTGCTTTCCCAAAAGGTATGTCATTGCGGCAAATTGTAGTTCCGCTTACATTATACTTTGTCTGCTACATTTCTTCACTTTATAGAAACTGTATTACTGCGTTAAAATCAGCTAAGCCACTGTTAACACTGCTTCTGTATAAAGATTTTACTAGCATTGCTATGAATAGTTCACGTTGTTGCAAATCTTGCGCGTAAATACGGCATTTTAGACTGTTTACAGCAGTGTTGCTATCTGGAGTTAAGTTCCTGTTCGGAACTAGCGTTTTTTTATTGTAGAATTGGTTTTAAAAAAGTTTATTCCCCAAAAAACTATTAAAATTAAAAACCTTGATTATAAGATTAAAATTTATACTGCAAATAATATATGGTAGTGTTTAAAAAAAGGTAAGCAAGCAGATCTTTTTTTCGATAGACGATTACTCTTCAAATCTCTTCAGCACTTATATTGTTCAACGGCCACTCGTCCTCGACTTTCTCTGGTGATAAGCACTAATTCGCAAATCACTTTCGATATTTGGTTTTAAAGATCAAAAAATGTCAAATCTTTGTAAAAGTTAAGCCACCTAAATTCAGAAATGCAACTTAGAATTAGAACTTGTCAGTTCTGTAACCAATTTTGAGTGACTGCTTTAATTTCCACCAGCACAATCCATTAGTGTTCGTGTAAGCTCCAATATACCAGTCTTCAAGATTTTTAGAGTAGATCATCATAAAATTATAGTACTCTTCAGGTGAATTTGCTACACTTTACCTAGGAGCTCATAAATTGTCACCACGATTGCACCTCAAAGCAATTTCTTTCTAATTATTGAAGGTAATGTACCAGCATTTCGATGATTCACTAATACCAAATATATTCATTGTTTTGAAACTTGTTGATTCTTACAATATTCACAACTTGTTAAAATCTCACCCATCTCTACAATTGTGCCTGGTCATCATGTTTTTAACTGACTTTCTTGAAAGAATGTCACAACAAATATCCAGAAATAAATTCACCCAAAATCATTTCAAAGAAGAGTTTACAGTAACTCACATTCTTTAATGACTTCATGCCACTTTTTTTGCTCGCTACTTTTAAGGCAGTGGTTCTATTCCATTGTTTCAATGGTACACAGTCAATTTTAAAATGTTTTTCAATGAAGAAATGTTGTGTAACTTATTTTTCAGGTTTGAAAACAAAACCCGTTTATAATCATTCGAGTGAGATTATCTTATCCAGCTTAGATCCCTCGACTGCATCCAGAGCCAACTTTGAGGTTTCCAACCGAGTGACCCAAAAATGATATTAAGGAGATTCCAGTAGAACCGAGGCACCAAAAGTGAACCAAGAGACCTCTCATAGAGGAAGGGC